GCTGCTGCCATGGCTGGAGGATTTCCTGCCTTTCACCTCCGACCTGCCCACCTCCGAGGCCTCTTTGCTCCCCTCATGGTGGCTGGTAGAGCCCTGGCAGTGGCAAGCACAGAGGTGACTCACTCAGGGCAGCCGTGGCCACCGCGGGGGCTCTTTTCACCCATTTCCCCTCGAAGAGAAGCAATCCCCAGCTCTGCCTGCCAAGGGACGGCCAGGCCACGATGCCCAGGAGAGAAGGACACTGTTTCCCACCCCTGCTGCTGGTGGCACTGGGCTTTGTGCTCCTGGGGATTACACTCCTCCCATCCAACGCAGGAAATTAAAGAGGGCGCTGGGAGCCGGAGCCCGGCCAGCAGAGCTGCCCCGTGGTCAGCAGAGGGGAGCACCTCAGGGGGCTCTGCAGCCCCAATAAAACCCAAATTGGGCTGTGGTTTGAGCACATATTCCAGCACACCTCTCAGGTCTGCTCTCCCCAGAGAGATCATCCCACCCAGGGTGACATGTTCAGCCTTGTGCCGTGACAGGAGCTCCCCTGTGTTCCCCCAAACCAGCTCTGCTGCCAGCCCAGGGCTTCCCAAACCTGCTGCACTGAGATTTCACAGTGACACTCAGAGCAGCATCTACCCTGCAGTGACAGATGCTGCCCAAACCCTCCTGCAGGAGACAGGGCAGCAAGAAGGGTGAAGAGACCGGCCAGATGCTGGGAAATCCCAGAGCTTGGGGTGGGAGAGGGAAGCGTGGGAGCTGAGCAAGGGAAGAGGGGAATGAACCAACCCCCAAATCCCTCAGAGCACCCACGCTAGGACAGGAAACCTTCCCCTTCAAGTCACTTCAAAGCCCAACGAGCAGCGTTGAAAGATCATTTCTTGCAAGGTATTGCTGCAACCCCTCAATGTTCTAGAGAGAGCTCCAAGGTGATGGCTACAGCCCAAAACATCCCACCTGCCCCTCAGTGCAAACACCTTTTACTCCTCCCTGAGCAGATTCAGGGAAGAACAGCTCAATCCCTTCCTCACATTCCACCATCCCTGACTCCAGGTGACCTCTTCTTGAGGAGAGCTCAAGGATAAAAAAAAAAGGGCTTGTAATGCAGACTCATGAATGCCCAGATAAAAATCTTTCCCCCCAGTTCCTCCCACACGGTTTAATCACTCTGCACAATGCAACAGCTGGCAGCTAACACACACCAGATGTGCTGGGAATATGAAAGACAGGAGGAAGGGAGTGGTGGAAATTAGGGGGGGGAATCTGTATTTTCTCATCACAGACTCCTGGATGTAGGAGATTAAGCCTCCTTGATTTACGAGCTCAAGGGGAGCATGAAAATCTTTCTGAGTTTCCACATCTGCCCGGGGAGGGGCAGCTGGGGGCTCTGGGAAGTCCTGAGGCTGCTCCTCAGCACGCTGCAGGGCACGACATGCCCTCGTGTCTCAGCCCAAATGCAAAGCCCTGAGTTCCCCTCCCTTAAATTCACCTCTCTGGAGCTGCACACGAGGTGCACGAGGCCACGGAGGGGCAGGGGGGGACCCCCAGCAGGAGACACGTTCTCAGTGCAGTGTCAGGAAGGGAGCTCAGGTGAATCAGTGCAGGGAGGAAGGGGGAAAACTGAGCTGGGAAATAAACGTTAATTGCAAAATTCAAGGGGGAAAGAAAAAGAAAATAGAATGAAAAGAGGGGTTGAGAGGCTGAGCTGGCTCAGCTGGAGGTGGTGAGGGGACAGGCACCCATCTGTACAGCAGACCCGACCTCCCTGAGACACAACCTGAGATTTTGGGGGCAGGCTTTTCCCACCCCCTGCCAGAGGCTATCCCAGCTATCGTTTGCTGAACAGGTCACAGCAGATGGATCCGTGTGGCACTACCACAAAACCCTCCTCACCACAACCCCTCCAGAGAGCCTGAATTTGGGGCAAGGGCCCAGGCGCTGCAGCTAAGGAGCAAAGAGAAGGAAACTGAAACCACCCAAAATCACTTCCCCTCTCTGTACCTCTGGTTTTTTTCCCCCTACTTTGCTCCACGGAGCCTTCCAGGAGACACACGTGGGCTGCCAAGCACAACACAAGCCTGGATCTGAAGGGGAGGGGTCTGCCACCGATATTAACGGTACCGAGGGCTGCAGTCCCCTCCCCTCCCTGCTGAAGGAGATTCTCCAGCTCAGGGATGCTGCCTAGAGGGAGCAGGACTGGTGAAACCTGCGGTCCCTGCTGCTTGCCTCCTGCACAAACAGAGCTCTCAATCTCTGGATCATCAGCTTATCTCCAGCGTGGAAATCCCTGTGTGGACACACCGATGGGTCGTGTGTTGCAAACAGGTTGGGGAGGGAAGGGGGGAGAACATGCTGCAGAGGCAAAAAAAAAAACCCCACCAACCCAGGGACGTGCTGAGGAAGTGAGAGCTCTCTTTCAAAATGAGGCAGCAGCCCCGTTTTCAAGGGCTATTTAAAGCAACCAAGTGAAAAATGTCACCAGAATAAACCTGCTGCCCCAGCTGGAGGGGCCAGGCTGCCGGGGAAACTCCTGCCCCAGCCCGGGGAGGTGAGACCAAGGGTGGCTGGCACCCAAGAGCAGGCATGCAGGGACCTCCTCCCCCCGGTCCCCCCCCCTCCCCGAGGGGCTGTACCTGGTTCCTGGCCTCCCTGTGACACTGTGCAGCACCCCGGCGCCTCGGTCATTAATTTATTTCTGGGAAATCAGAAGAGCAGCTCTTTGCCTCCTGATTGGCGGCACGAGCTCCTAGAGGGAACCACTGAGGAAATCCAGAAAAGGGGAGGGGGGGAAGCAGAGCAGCTTTGCCCTGGATTAAACTACTGCTGAGGGGAAGCAGGGAGCACACGGAGGAGGAATGATGTGCCCGGAGTGGGAGCTCCCCCAGCACAGGCACCCCGGGGTGCTGGAGCAGCACCAGGGAGAGGTCAAACCAGTCTCCAGCAGGAGCTCTGGGCCAAAGCTCTCCCACCAGCTCCAGCACCTCCCACTGGTTCCATCATCTCCCACCAGCTCCAGCATCTCCCACCAGATCCAGCATCCACCAACA